TACATATACAGTAGGATATATGTACGCTGAACAACGCATCAAAACACTGATGTAGGAAGGCCTATGTATGTATATAAATAATGTGTGTGTCGTACTAAGCGAAGATGCAACAGTGAAACGGGTACAGAATTTTAATATCTAATATGTCAGTTTATATAAAAACAACTTATATAACCGGCTTTTCCGAGCTGGTCCCACGTATGTTAATTAGCGCCAAATATAAACTTTTGAGAGGCGTACTGAATCGGAGAGCTGCGCTCTTCCCTCACACAACGGCGAACGTAGATTTGTCAAACGGCCGCTGATTGCTACACGACGAGCTGTGCACTCTGTATGTGATGGGATAGGCACAAATGATGTGAAAATGTCAATGCCTTTACACGAATTGTTTAGGAGTGATTATAATCACTTTGTTCTTATAATGCTCCAAATTGGGTCGTTCTTTTAACTGGGAAGTATTTGACCTGGATCAATCATGGTGAAGAGAAAAATTACGGATGATTCGGACAGGAATTCTGCAAAACAAATCCCACTACCGATTCAAATTTTTCTTTGGAGGCAGACAAGGTAAGGAGACCCCGGAGGAGAGTCGATCGATACGGCAAGGTCATCGGCGGCTTGATTGCCTTGTCGTGATTTCATCAAACACGCTTCAACGGTTATTGGTGGCTGGAATCACAGATGTCTTAATTCTTATTACATTTGAAGTTTATTACGATTGAACGGATATTGGTGTTTTAAATTGCTTGTTCTGGAGCTTAGTAGACACCGATTCAGTCATCGGTGGTCAAATGGACTCGCGAATTGGCATAATTTATTCATCAAATTAGGCTAGGCCTAAATAATAATATTAATAATAAAAAATCGAGTCCTAGTGACCAACAGTGCACACATCAGTTCGGTCCACAGGCTGTTTTGTTGTCCAGGAGATGTCAAGCCAGGCCATGGACAATTTCTTTCAAAGCAATTTTCTATGTATTGTAATTTGTTTAATTGTTACTCAGTACAGGGAGTTGTTGCTCAGTATACATATCATGATTTGTGTTTTCTGTGTGTAGCATTAATTTGGTAAAAAATGGCCCATGGGAGTTATAATTTAATAAATTAACTCCATGCCTAGGCCCCTAGGCCTAGTAAAGTTGGCCTAGCTATAAGTAGTATGCTTAGGCTATGCAGGGAGTTGTTATAGGGCCTAGTGTTGTTATAACAACTCCCTGGGCTATGGCCTAGGCCTAACCCAGACTTCAAAAAAATATTTAAAAATAATTTGTTCTTGATTTTTATGAAATTCAATATAGGGCCTAGGCCTGTTGCCTTATACTACTAGGCCAATCATATTACTGTAAATCTGTGTACTGTACTAGGCCTACCCGAGTGGTATCCAAATGAATAGAACATAAGCCAGGCTTAAATAAATGTTTGCCCTAGGCCAAAAAAAAATGTAAATTTGCAACAATTGCTTCAAATTTTCAATTGAAATTAATATCTTTCAAAATTAATAAAAAAAAGCAATTAAAACATTCAATTAATTTCTTCTTTTTCCAACTTTATTGGCATATACCATTTTCTTGTCAAGTTTTTTTTATGCTAATTTCCTATGGCATGATGATGTCATATCACACCCATACTATGTAATGGAAAGAACACATATATTTTGTCATGGAATAATGACTTTTAATAACAGACTTAAATGATTGCTGTCTAAATGGTCTATGCTGGTGAAGGAAAACCTTTGTTGCATGCTGAGCACAAACACTTATACTGTAAGAAGAAAATGCCAAACCTTTCACTGCATAAATACCATATTAATTATTTTATGTATTGTTGTTTCTCTTATTCTTAATTTTGCTTGTCATTGGTATTGTTATTGTAATTGCTTTTACTATTTTAGTGTTAATCTTATTGCTAACTATTAATGTTAACAAATTTGAAATGGTTTTTATAGTAAACAGTTAATTTCTTTTAATGTTTGTTCACTGTCTGCCAAAAAAGTCGGAAAAAGTATAAAAAATAAAATAAAAATTTTAAATAGCTCATATAATCAAATCAAATAAGTTGTTACAGAAACAGACAAAACAATTTTTTCTCTCTGATTTACAGACATTTTACTACAAAATCCTTAACTTAAAAATCCTTGATTTAATACAATCCAACTGAAGGATCTCTACAAAATAATAGAGGAAAGATATTATTAAACTGTCCGTTAATTGACTTAGAATTATTTTTTTCTCTTTAAATTTTTAAAATTATAATCAAGTTTATAGAAAATACAAAGGCAATTCAGTAGAATTAAACAGTGCAAGTCAAGTCAACATAATTTTTTCCTTCCTATGTTTTTGCCACTACTGTAGCTTTGGTAGGCTGTATCACACCAATGACAAGAAACTCTCTATGTTGTATATAGAATTTTCTTTTTTTTAGAGATGTACACTAGTTATGGTGGGCAGGGCTACCACTTAGCCTTGAAGTTTTCCACCCACTAATTTTTTCTGACTCTTTACCCACCTTTATTAACTCCTTACCCATCCCAACAACTGACCGCCCATTCTTAAAATCTACTCTTAATATTATTACTAGCAACGTTTTCACCCACCAACCTATAAAATATCTGCCACCCACCCTTATGAAAAAAATAATAAAAACTTTATTTAACCACGGTAAACATTTGATCACCTCAATTGTGTTTTTCATCAATGTCATAACAGACATGATAATCAAACTTAACTAATTTTAAACAAAGAAAAATATTAATTACAGAAAATAAAAGGAAACTAAAACCAAATTAGAAAACAAAAATTAAAACATCAAAATACAAAATATGAAAAACTATTGTAATACATAAAAATGTACAAATCTAGGATAATAGATTGAGTTGCTTAATTGGCTACAGTATAGCCTGTCAAAAACAAAATGTAGCTTAACCGTCTAATTAAATTTTAACATATCTATAAAAATATTTAATTGTCTTTTAATTTTCATTTAAAGTTAGAAAGAGTAATCAAAGTTTTGAGGTCATCACGTAGTTTGTTCCATAATTTGGCACCTGTGTAGGAGAAACTACGATTTTTATAATCTGTTCTAGGTTTAGGAAATATTAGTTGGTTTTTAGATCGGGTGTTATAAGAACTTTCTTTAATATTGAATCTACAATTTAGGTAAAGCTGGTGCCAAAATTTTGGTAATTTTGAACAAAGTGATGGCTTTACTTTGAAACAGGCGCTTGTCATGGTTATCTAAGCTAAGATTGTGCAAAGCTTCTTCTCTTTTCCTTAGTTTTCTACAACATACAACCCTGTTATATATAAATTATTTATCATTATTTACCAACCATAACCACTGATACTTTTTACCAATTTTTATAATAATTGTGCTTTTACAATTATCTTAAGTTTAAAATCATTATTGTTCTGTTTATTGCTCAGTACACATACATTTATACTAAAATGTATTTTTATATTTTAATGCCTATTCCATTTCCATATTTTACCTGTTTTAAAAAATTCTTATTTTTCAGTCCGTTCATACGACCAAAGCTTGGCAAGCTATACGAAGCCAGTTGTGTGGTGAGTTAATAACATTCAAACCATGGTCAAACTATTAGGAACACATTAAGGAATATACAGTACCATCTATCATTTGTAGCATTTCATTGATGAACCTTGGGGTTAAGTACAAAACATTTGCAATATATCATTGAGGCTTAATGTGAAACCTCATGGCCAGGGCATAAATTAACTGATAGCTTGACTTTCATAATGAGGAATAAATTGATGAGAATACATGAAAGCATAAGAGGGAATGAAATCATGAATATGAAGGGAATAATATGGGATAAATTAGGTATGAAAATGTTGAATTTACAGAAATAAAATTGTTGGAAAATATAAAAGAAATTATGATTTTCTTTAGGAAACATGAATAAAAATGTATAACAATGAATTTGTTAAAATATTTTATGTTTATATGTCTATTTGTTTTACTTGAACTGTCTTTATATAATGACTTATTATGTGTTATGTGTGAGTATTATGTGTTTAACATATATTTTCATATTGGTTTTTTTAAATAATTAAAATATACCATTTTTTCTCCACTCCTTTTACATTCTAACTTTTAATATTTCATTGTAATTTGTGGTATTTCAGTGTCAGACTATTAGTAAAGTAGTGTTATTTTGAATTATTTGTACTTCAAAAATTCCCCCAAAATTTGCAATAAGTTTGTCTTGTATCTTGTATCTATCTCGTGATAGAAATTGAGGAAAAGTGAAATTGTGAAGTAAATTGAAAGGATGAATAAAAATAAGTAAATACAATTATCAGATGCTGGCATAGATTCTTTTTAAACTATGGAAAGTTGATGTGTTCGAGAAGTGAGCAATAAATTGTAATCATTTTAAAAGTACCGGTATTTATTTTATTTTTATCTCCATCTCAAATTACACACTTAATTTTTCTTCCAGTCTTTTGAAAGAGTGTTCGTGGAGAACAAACTTCATGGTTTGTCTCCCAGCCTTTCGGATGCCATTAACAGCATTCCCAGATGGCAGCTCATCCAAGCTGCCTTTCCTCATGTTGTCCACTGCGGTGCTGCCCTACTCAACAATCGAGCCAAACTTGGACATATGGACAAACTTGGAAATGCTGAGACCAAGCTACTTCACACGCTTCAATGGATTCTCCTGGAGGCCCCCAAGGAATGCCTATGGGAGGAGATGAGTCCAGAGGAAGCGAGTGGCAACAAACCAGTTTGTCAACCGCAGTATCCATTGGATTCCTTACAGTTGTTTGTATACATGTTTGCCCCATTAATATACAGTGTCAAAGAAAGTGATTTAACATTTCGCCTTGCTAATGGTCTCAGACTTTGGCAGCCTCTCTGGGATCACAGACAACCAGATATCCCTAGCTTCAGTGCTCTTGTAAAGCCTAAAAGAAATATTGTCAGAGCACGCCGCCATAGCTCTTTGCGCAGTAGTGATGGTAGTCAAGATTCGGGAAGAGAGTATAATGATTTGTCAGTTAGTGGAGGAGCACCCCAGGCTAATGTGACTGATGCCTGTAATCCCTCAAGTACTCTTGAATCAATACCGGTAGATCATGAAGTGAAAATCTGTTCTGTGTGTCATACTGCTATCAAAGAGAATTCTTGTTCTTGTAAGAGCAGTGAAGTAAAGAAAAACCTGGATGAGCAGTCAGCAACTGGTTTACAAAGCTCTGCGCATTCCAGTTTAACACGATTCAACGATGTATGTCAAGCAACCTTTTTTGATATCGCTGTGCTTCGATGTCTGTTTTGTCCCAATTGGAATGATGAAGGAATCCAGTGGGCTCTGACTTACCTCCTCACACGCCTGCAAGAAATCACTGATGAGAAAATTGCTTCAGAGCGTGTTCGCCATCGCAGCTGTTCTCTACCTGTGCCACAAATCATGGTCTCTATGGTAGCACCTGTACCTAATGTTACTAAAAAGTTATCTCTTCCAGCATTCATCAAATCAGAGATTGAGACCAGGAGGGATAGAGACAAAAGTATCCCAAATAGGAACAAGATACAGAAGACCACACCACAAACCACCCCATCAAGACGAGGTGATGTACTGGGCAGACCAGTATATGCAGTGCCTCGTCTTGTGGAAACACTTGAGAATGGCAGTCTGTCAGAACAGCATAAGGTGGCAATTGATGATAAAGATAATACTGAGAGAGGTCTTCCAAATTCATTATTTGCTATGCCAGAAACAACTTTTAAGTATAACCCTCAACGAAATGAAAGAGCTTCCAATCAGCAGGAACCAGTTGTTCCAAAACAAAGAAGAACCAGAAGACCACCAGCAATATCAGCACCTTGCATCAGATATCCGCCAGTCTTGGAGACTGAAGAGAGGAATCATAAGCCAGTGAATGAAAATAGAGAGGAATCTGAAGGTGCTTCTGTTACTCACACTCCGTTTAGCTCCAGGCCTCCAGTGGTACTGTCGGTACCTGCTGTGTCTGTTATACAACAACCAAAGTTGGAAAGTGTTGAATCTGGTGTGGAAGAGATAAAAAATCCTTTCCTAAAGAACCTACAATTGGCAAAGTCTGCTAGTTTTGGTGCCAGCAAGGTGAAACCACTTAAATTCACAATTGATGTCATTCAAATCCGTACTCTGCCTTCCTTTGACAACACAGAAAATCGTTTATCTACTGGGAGCAGTACCTCAGGTGAAACACCGATTATTAGAAATGGTGGGGTTGGTACGGAGAGAGATGTTAAACTTTTAATACCAACTGTGAAATCACATTCAGAGCCTTATCACCGACTCCAGAGGTCAAAAGCGATCTTGGAAGAACCAGATGAAATTAAAGATGTAGAAGAAGAAGGTACTGGCGACAGTAGTGTTGCCACTGAAGTCAAAGATCCGTCTCAAGGCGTTTCTCTTGCTGTTCCAATACCAGAGATCAAGCCAACATTAGAACTGCCACCAAATGAAACAGAGGACATCCAAGTAGGGAATGTTTCTGATTCTAGTAAAATGGAAATTAGCACAGAAGTTGCATCCTCACTTCTGTCACTACCGCCAACGATCCCAAGGAGCTCATCAGATTCGTTTGTTGACTATTACCGCCCTCAAGAGACGGAAGAACATTGTGAAGCTCCTGGATCAACATATTACATTCAGGAGAATGGTCAGATGAACTACTGTGTTATACTGAGGGCACTTCACACTGTCATCACCAAAGAAACAAATGCAAAAATCTGCGATGTTTCACTACATATCATTGACACCCTATTAAACTTTAGTGTTATGGAAAATAAGTCTGAGAAAAACAATCAAAAGAGTTCTACGATACCGAAGATCCGAGTTGACGGGGGAAAGACCAAAGTGGAAGAGAAGACCACGGCAGGGATTGAGGAAATCAGCTCGGAGGATATGAATATGCATAATCTCGTCATGGAGACATTGGTGTGCGTGTTTCGAGCACTCGGATGTAAACACGGATGCGGAGAAGGCTTGCGTGGACAAGCAGGTATTTAATTTATTTTTGTTTTCAAAAATGTAATTTCAAATTATTAAAATATTAAGACCAAACAATTAAAGTTTTTGTTGGCACTGGCAGACATTAATGACAGAATTCCTCAAATTGATTTAGGGGTCAATTCAAATATGGATGGAATTACTTGTGCTGCTAGTTAGTATTGCTCAATTGAATGCTTTACTTAAATGTACAAAGCAAATCAAAGTTATTGAATATTCTTGTTAAAGATCTGTTGTCCCTTTTTTTTTATTTTTGGTTTATCTGAAATATTTCTTTCCTGTTTTTGTGTTTTGTTCTTATTCATAAGTATTAGCTTAAAGTAAAGCTTACTGTAATTAATAACATTTAAGTGCAAAGAATAAGATAACTGGCAGGATTTTAAAAAAAATGTTAACTTCAATCAAATACTATTGTAAACAATTAATATGTTGATTTGTGTTATCAACAGACATATATCATTTTTTAAATATCTAATATAGTTTCGCATATTGTAAATGTAAATGATTATTATTAGTTTTCTTAATGTAATTTTGTGAAAGACAAATGCATTTTGATTTTGTTTATTCTTAACATTCTATTTATAATGATTAGTATTATCAATATTTGAAAATGTGGCATTATCGTAGGTCATATCCAAATACACCTGATTAAATTAATTATCATCAATGAATGCTTTATTAGAGTTTATTTGTTCTTTTTAATTCTTTTTTAATTGCTGTGGATCCAGGTGATTATTTTTTTTTTATGAATGCATTATTTAAACACTTTTTAAAGGTAATACATTAAGACAGCAAGGTCAGAACTGCTTGAATCGAATGTACAAGATCGATGCACGACAGTTCCGTCGTTATTTACGTTTCATCATCAGTGCTCACCCGTTGGATAGCATCATAGATTTTCTTCACGCATTTCTTGGATTCTGTGTTGACCCAAAACCGAAACCATTAGTCTTCAGACCAGGTAAGGGAACACTCTTGTATATACGTACCTATTGGATTCAAACTAATACTGGGTGGATGAAAAAGTTTTTTATATAAAGTTGAACTCTTATTGTCAAATTGAGAAGCAATGAAAAGCAAAATAAAATTTTGAGAGTGCCATTTTCGGGCATCTAGAGGTCCCATATATTAAAATCTTAGGGTGCATTCGGGCGAGAACGGGAAAAATTCTACTGGTTCATGCAGAACTCGGCTTTCAAAAAACCATTAACCTCGGACGTAAAACCTAAGGTTTTATGCAAATAATGAGTTTCTATCAAGTTGCCCTGGACCCTTGCGTCACCCTACGCTTTAATTAAGATACGGACATTGGCGTTGGTCCACTGCATAGTGTTGTCTCAAAATCAAGTAATGAAATGACCGAAGAAGCTACAATATTGCTCCATAAATCATACATTGCAAACTCCCAATAAATCGCAGATGTGCATTTTGGGCGTATAAACCATGAATAAACTTTTATTCGTTTGATAATTGTAGAAAATTACTACCATTGTTAGAACGAATATGCAGTGGTGCCACGGTCACGTATGCATGCGGCAGACGTATGTAATACGGTAACAATCTGGATTCTAGGCTAGCCCTCCGTTGAAATAATTATTTTATCAAGCTTTTCCAGTTTTGTTTTTGGAAATAAACTGTAAAAGTAGCAGGGACCATGAAAATTTAAACAGACTTTACTTCTGGCGCATGTAGAAACAATAAAAGAGCAATCAAAAAGGAATTAAAAAATGCTCTCTGCTGCTAACGCATGCTGCTTTTGCTCCTGCAAAACACTGCAATTTGCAGCGTTGAATTATCAGCGGATATCAGCAGGCGGTCCGTGTTTAACATCCGTTTGGGCGAGAACTGGAAATGGCCGTTTCCGGATTTATCCTGTGTTAAACTCCACAAAAAACTTGCCCGAACACACCCTTAGTCTCAAACAGAACTATGGTGGGGTAAGAAGGGTGTTGACTCTCTAATCAGCAAAAAATCCTACATTGGCACCTATGGACCATGATATTGAGAGTGACTTTAGTAAAAAAAAAAGGCTGAGAACCAGGGCTCTAGAACATCACCTGTCTCCAGCCTGTAATTGGCAACTGTGCTTAACTGTTGGATGGATGTTGAAACATGACATATCAACAGCAGGAAACATGACAGTGAACTGTCACTATTGATATGCATTGACAAGTAGTTAAGGCATTAATTAGCTACCAGTAGGCAACAGTATTTGGCTGTTGTGGCTCCCTAGTTGATGGCCAGTAGCAGGTACTTGTCAACAAGTAAGTGCAGAATTCCTGTGCCTTGAAGGTAGGTTGAATAGCGTTTTCTTTGTGTTGGGTTGGATTTTGCGTCCATTACGGAAGTAGCAAATTCATTACTCTTAATGCTACTAGTTTTAAAGAAGTAGTATAACGCAAATGTACCCACACCCACATCAACACACCCACACACACCCACATCAACACACCCACACACATACAGTACCTAATATGTCCTGTAAGTTTTACATTTATTATGATCCTCAAACATAATATTTTTCATTACATTATACCTTTTGGCATTAAGGAACTTGTCTATAACCAACAAAGATGGAAAGAAAAAAAATAAAAAATTGTATGTCAATGTAATCATAATGTAATATTTAGTAAATATTTGTTTTATATACACTTTAAAAAAAAATAAAACACATTTTATAAGAACACTGAGGCTAAAATTGCTTTAAAATTAACAAAATAAGAACAAATTGAGGCTGAGGTAAAAATGTCAAATGAGGTTTTTTATATTTTTTAAAATAGTAAAACCAACAAATCTTATCTGTACTGTAAGTGCAGCAGGTGTGACTATGTAATAACCTCTATTATACAGTATGTAATAAACTGTTGTACAAAAATGTTTTCCTTGTTTGAAAAGTGTGTAAAAATAAGAACAAACTAAGAATGTTTTGAGCTTGAAATTGGCAAAAAAAATAAGAACACTGAGCCTGGGCAAAATTTTACTGGTTCTTAGGCCTATGAAAAAGAAAAGTGTACCACTGCATAGTTTGTAGGCACTATTGACCAACTATTGCCCAGCTTTTTTTCAATCAAATGCACAGAATTTATGTAGTGTAGTCAGTGTATAATACATAAGAATCACCTTATAGAAGAATTACCAATCTTTTGCTGTAATCATTGTTGATCTTTGAGTTGAGAAAATAAGTGATTTTTTTGTGTTGCAATCCAGTTTTTTAGATTTTGTTTCATTTCTTATGTTTGAATATTATGTTGTCATGTTTTGTGTATGCTGTCAGATTCTTTAGCGAATAAAATCAAGATCAAATTGAGAAGTCATCAGAATGATATGCAGCCGTTCTGAATTCGATTTTCTACGGAATGTAATTCCCGAACGGAAGATAATATTTAAATTCAGCATTAAATAATTAGATTTAAATGAAAGGCTACTAAGAGATCTATTGTTATTAATCACCGTCACTACGCATGATTACGCAACTCTAGACATGGTCCGTTTAATGAAACGCACCACAGAATGCATAATAGATGTTGCCAATATAGGTAGAAACATGCTCTAGTGTTACAATCTATCTATTTATTCAAGACAATAATGATAAGTGGCATTCGTTCTCTGAATCTCGGGCTTAAGCCTTTCATGAGAAGTGACGAATCAACTGTCCAGTTCACACCGCAGAGTGTCTTAATGGCCGTCATTATGTTGCCGTTAGTTACACATGAGCAGAATAATGTCTGTTTACCGATGCATGAAATCTTGGATTATTATTCTCCCGAGGGTAGTTGGGAGCTTCGAATATTTCATGTTTTTTCCAGCTATATTTGTGACAGATCTCGTTATAACTTACGAGCGAAAGCCTTATCGATGCAGAAGCTTTTCGAGGATTACATCATCAATATGCATGAAATATTAATAGCATTGTCGGGACTAACTCGATCATTTTGTTTACGATATGTGATATGACCTGTAAAAAACGATTTATATATTTCTTGATACGCTATTACGTGTGGCATACAGGATAATTTTGGACCCATTTGGTCTATAAGTGAAGGTTAATATCCTCCATTGACGTTTTGACCGAACACAAGCTTGATGTAGACAGACACGAAAGATTTATTATTTAAATTTGTTACACGAGTCAACATGGCTACTATCCACTTAATATTACACTGTGCATCACAGATCAAGTCAAAATTTATCTGTTTTACATAATAGATATGAAGAAATAATATAATAATAAATGAACATAATCATTTCAATTCAAGTTTTATAGTTAAAAAAACAAAATTCAGAGCAAAAACAATTTCATTTCACATTGCACAAATGTTTATAAAAAATGATGCCGTTTTGTGTCTACTTCCCCTAGGTGGAGTGGGGAGGGGTTGTAGACACTTAGCTAAAGTCTAACTTGTAAGTTGTGCGAGTAAATGTGGTTGGAGGAATGATGGGCTACGAATGCCTAGGTAAGGCCGTTAGGTGGATTGCCAACATAGAAAGCATAGATGGGTTATGAGTTCAATAGAAGTAGTGAAAAAAACTATGTCCAGCTGTAGACGCTTTGAAAATGTGTATCTGTTTTATGTGCAAGATATTTGTATGGGTGTGATATGACATTATCGCTATATAATCCTTGGGAAAAATCTATTAAAATTATTAGCTCATCTTAGAGTGCCATTTTTGGAATCTAGAGGTGAGTTAACCTAAATTTTTTGTTACTTAAGAACATCAAGTTTTAATGTGAGAATGAAATAGTTCGAGCCAAGTATAGTAAAACAAAGTGGATTATTCTTTAATTTAAAATTTAAATAATAAAAGAGAGAATTAAATAGTTTGAGCCATGTATAGTAAAAACTAAATGGATTATTCTGTAATTTAAAATTTAAATACAAAAGACAGAATAGGTTGAGCCATGTATAGTAAAACAAAAAAGATTATTCATAAATTTAAATACAAAAGATGAACAGCTTTAAGGATTAAGTATACATTAACAAAAGCAGCAGCGATTAAACTATGCTAAGGTTCTTAAGATTCTGCTTTCTCCCAAATGCTAAATGTTCACAAGAGCTGCTTTTTATTTAAATATGAAACCAGTATTTAGTAGCATAGTTTCAGATACCGTACTATAGTAAGTAATAGTACACTAGGAAAATTATTATACGAAGGTTAGATTCGAGGCTTGAAAACATTTCATGAATACATCGCGCACCGCGATAAAATTATTGTAGTTGAAAATTACTTTCGTAAAACAAGCTTAATTAGAACATTCCTATTAAACGTTCAGTTTGTTGTGTTTATGAGGGTCCATTGATTCAATGAATTCCTTAATTGTTCATACTTAATATTGAATTTGAAGTAACTTTCTTCGGGTTCTAATTAAGCTTGTTTTACGAAAGTAATTTTCAATTACAATATTTTTTATCGTGGTGCGCGATGTATTCGCGGTGACAAAAAAAATGAGATGCTGGGGAATAGGCAAATATCATTGGGAGTTACTGTGATGATGTTAAGATTGACTTATAATACACATTATATTTGTGATTAGTAGAAGTAACAACTCAATTTATGAGTCCAATATACATATTGACAACTGATGTCATATTAATATTGTGTCAAAAAAAACATTGACAAAAATACTGTGCAGCTGCAGTTAAGCAATTAATTAAAAATTCCAGTGTTTTAGTTTCAAATACTGTAATTTCTATGATATTTTTAGCTCTGATGAGGAACTCTAGGAATACCCTGCTGATTGACTGCTTTTTTCATGGCTGATTGACTGCTTTTTTCATGGCTGATTGACTTTTTAATTTTTTAGAGAAAAAAGAAGTATAACAGGCTTATCCGGGAATTGAACCAGTGACCTCTCATACCCTAAGCTATATGCCTCTATACCAACAAGCCATAGTTACTATGTCTTGCACCCCAAGCTACATTCATGCCTCTAGACCAACGAACCATAGCTACTTTGTAATTTTGAAGGAAGTCTAGGAATACTTGGCTGACCGATAGATCTTTTTTGCTTGTTGATTAATAGATCTTTTTTCATTTTTTAGAGAAAAAAAAAAGTAACAGGCTCATCCGGGAATTTAACCAAGTACCTCTCACAGCTTAAGCTGCATTCAAGCTTCTAGACCAATGAGCCATTTTAGTTATTGTGTAGTTTAGAAATAGCTCTAGGAATACACGGCTGATTGATTGTTTGATTGATTAATATATCTTTTGTGTATTGGAGGCTGTTAGGGCCAACACCCTACTTACTGCCTCTATTATACTGCCCTCATCGGAGCTTTCGAGATTACAAGAACTTGTTTACACTAAAACAACTCCCATGCTATGTGGAATCTCTGTGGTGTAGCAGTAAGGTGCTGGGCTTTTAGTAAAGAGGTTGTGGGTTCGATGGGAGACGATGCTGACCATATTACTAGTGTTCGTGGCCAAAGCACTTACCGGTATTTGGCCCTAATATTCATCCAGAAGTTTGGTAGAAAGTGAATGATTAGGAATGAAAATTGCAGAGTGCATGATTAAAAAATGATAAAATTATTCTTCTTGTCCGCAAATGTATTAACAGTTTTGCCCATTCCACCCGCACCACTCGTCAACACACAGCTTCTTTACTTGTTCTTCCTACTTTCAAACATGTGAAAAAACGGCCAACGTTCATTTTCTTTTCTTGCACCTAAACTTTGAAACTCACTCCTACCTGCTACTAGATCAATTTTGGACTTTCACCTTTTTGAATTTCTTCTCAAACCTTTTCTCTTTTCCTTTGCTTTTCCTCCTTAGTTTCAGTTTGACTTCAACGAAAATGAACTTTCAAATTTTTATTGTTCTTAATTATTTTATTCTCTTCTTATTTTTGTTATGACTATTATCATCATTATTATTATTGTTATCATTTTCATTATTATTATTGTTATCATTTTATTATTTTATTATTGCCCTTTATTGTGTTTTTATTGTAAAGCGCTAGTGACAACATCCATTTTAACCAACGCTATAGAAATTTAAAAATTTATCTATCTATCTATGATGATGAATTTTCTGTAGATAACTGAGAATGTTGAACATATTGTGTATTCTTCACTTAAGATTCAGATTCCTTTATTGTCTCACACCAAATAATACTGTCATGACCTGGGGGGAAAAAGTACATTAAGAAATTTTTCTTCTAAAATTATTATGTATTTTTATAAATTCTGCCAAATACATAAAATATGCAATAGTGATTTATACCCTGCCTTTTGTCAAGGGATAAAATGCGCTTGCGATGTTGTTATTACCCTTGGTAATTTGATACATACATTGGCAAACCAGCACAAAGTGCAATCTTCCATTTTCCGTCCCTGGGGAGTATAGTCACGCAGCTTTGCACAGACTTAAATATATTTAATACCACAACATTCTACCAGGTACTATGCTGGTTTATATTCCTGGAGGAAGAGATACACTTTGCACAAACTTAAATATATTTAATACCACAACATTCTACCAGGTACTATGCTGGTTTATATTTCTGGAGGAAGAGATACACTTTGCACAGACTTTAATATATTTAATACCACAACATTCTACCAGGTACTATGCTAGTTTATATTCCTGGAGGAAGAGATACACAAATCTAGGTAAACATGGTTGTACCTATAGAAAACCAAGGGTGGGTGATAGATATTTTAAGGTGGGTATGTTATAACGTTAATAAACTTTAAGTAATAATAAGAGTGGATTTTAAATGTGTAAAAGTAGGTCAATAAGTGTGGATGGGTGGAGGGCCATGAAATTAGCTTTAGACTGGATGGAAAACTTCAAGGCTGGGTGATCCCGCACTCCTCCACCCACCATAACTACATCTCTGGGTAAAGTGACTTTCTTAAGGACTTAAGTGAATTACATAGCAAGGGATTCGAACCCTGAAGTCAAGGGTAAGTGCAACCACTGCATCAGTCACTTCCAAATACAGGCCTCCCTCCAATTAAAGACCACATTTGGGACCAGGGTTTCCATGGTCTTAGCAGCTTCGGTCTCTAATTAGAATAGTAAAGTTATAGACATTGTTAATATGGGACCACAGAAAAGTGGTTCTTAATTGGAGGTGGTTTTTAATTGGAGGGTCTTTAATTAAAGGAAGACCTATATAGATTTAATGATATTTGTTCCCATGTAAAAAAGATTTGGAAAAATTCAACTAAATTTTTGAATTGTTTTAACTCCCTGATCTTCATGAAATAGCGAATGCTGTAATGTATGTAAGATGAGATAAGATAAATTTATTGCTCGAAAAATGGAAATTCGGTACTCACATTATATACAATTGACCTTAGAAATATTAAAAAATGATCAAATTAAAAGAGATATTGCAACAGCCATGAAAGCCTTCTGACAGTCACCAAAGCACAGAAATAACAGCAAAAAAGGGGAAAACTAAACATGTTATGTATATATGTAAATTTCCTACCACATTGGTATACTTGTGGCAATGATTGTTCAAAAAATTGTGGTTCTTTTTCTCTTACTGTTTATTATCAACTTAAAAATGATACTGTATTATTCATCAGCAAAGCCATTATTATAATTTAAGTGAGCTGATGATCCTTTCAATATTTATTAATGCAAATGTGGCTTAATTTTTTGTGCAACCAGCTTTTTGTGTGTGTTTGTAACATCACATTTTAACTGTTTTAAAATTGACTTTTATATTACAGGTCTCCTTGTAATTAAAGACTCCTCTAATTAAAGACCACTTTTCTATGATCCCATATTATCAAATGTCTATTATCTTTATTATTCTAATTTAAGACCAAAGCTGCTAAAGACTAGTTTTAATTGGAGTGAAACCTGTTTCTGTATTTTTAAGTATCATCTTTGCACTTGCATAATTTTTTTAAACTTTTTTAACTTACATTTTTATTTTAATATACATTTATTTTTACAATATTTTTTGAGGTTCATGTTATACTCATGTAATTAACTATGTGTTGCTACATTAGATTAATGAAATTGAATTAAATATGATTAAATTGAAAATTAGTACAAGAACATATTTAAAATTATCAGACACATAAATATACAGTTTCTGTATTCTTTGTAACCTTACCTTAAATTGGTTGCTAACCATTGTAAGCAATGCTGTAGTGATCTAAGAAAAGCAAATAATTAATTTAATTAAACCAAAGTATTGGAAGCTGATTAACTAATTTAATACTGTTAACCCTGTGGATTCTTTTGTAGTGCAAACCCTTGAATACCGGATTCTTTTGCAGTGTAACAAGGTTTTTTGCGTTTTTTGAGTATACGTCATTCTGGTGGATTTTTGGGAACTTTCTGTAAATTATACAGAAAAATGTTTCTAAAAACAAAGAAAGCTTTATAGAATAAGCTTTCATTTGATGTATAATTTATATTTTTAGGATTTTTTTTTTCATAATATAATATAATATATATAATATAATAGAAATGACAGAAAAATGCTACATATAAATCGTCAGCAAAAACCAAAAAAGCAAAAACCGAAAAAAAAAAAAAAAATTATAGCCAAAAAAAAATAAAAACAAATATAAAACATTCCTATTCCACACAGTTATATAATTCTTTTACCCAACCATCCATAACTATAAGCACGATCTTTCCATTCAAAATCGTCGACCACCCTCACATTTCTAGGCCTAGGCTCATCTTCATCAAGAACATCTTCGCCGTCAGAACTGCTTGAAGCCCCACCGTCATCATCGCTAACAGGCACGTCTAAGTCTCGCACATCTAAAAACTCACCTTCATCGCTGTCTGAATCAAATCAGGTCAATCGCTTCCTCAGCTGTGTACACATCTTGTGCGGCCATTTCGAAAAAATTTTTAAATTAATAACGATTTCAAATTTATATTTCTAAACATTTTTATATAAGCGCATGTGAGTTCTTCACAGATTTCGAAAGAAAAAAGCTTCACGCATGCGTGTTCCAAATTTCTGACGTATTGGAGCTAAAATAAAAACAGAAGAGTGATTTGAAAACCACCTATTTTTTAGTCACTAAATTTCGACTTCAGTCGAAAATGGGAATTCTCGGTTTGAGGTCAATTTCGACTACAGTCGAAGACGGTATCTAGAGGGTTAAAAAGAAACTCTTTAAATATTTTTTGGTTTTTGAAAATTTCTCATGTCAGATCGTTCTATGGAAGTAAACTATCAAACTCTGTATTAATAATGTTTTTTTCTTTTATATAGTTAAAATCATGCAAGTTGTCATTATGGATTGATATGTGGAATAAGTTATTCTTCTTATAGTATGCGCAATATCGTACTTAACGTTCTTTCTTATGTTTATGTATACATCCGGCCATCAAGTCCCTTAGTTATTTCAAAATGGATGCTTTGTGCATATTCTTTTCTGCATGTGACAGTCACACCTGCAATATTTATCTTGCCATCAAGTGGGAGGAAGTAGATGTGAATTAGGGTATTATACCTGACCAATCAGAAGACTAATAGGAGAGGATGATTACATTTGCATAATTGAATGGATGTGATATGGTGATGAATTGACTCTTTAATAATGTTATGTATTTTGACTTAGTATAATGTTTCAAGTCACTCTTCTCTAAAATATAACCTATCAAAGAATGTATAACAGATGATGTGTATATTCATGGATGGATGGATCCATGCTCAACAAAAATGATGTGATGATGATGGGATTTGTTTTTAATTATCTATGATTTAATTATTTTAAGTGACATGGTCACTGATCTTGCAGCATATAAACCATTCTGGAGATGGTAGAAGATATTTGCATCTGCATAGAAAGATGCTTAGCTCAACAACATCTCTGCAACATAACCAACAAGAGGATTAGGAGCTCACAATGTTTATATTTTCAATAAGAATAAAAGGATTTCATCATAATCATGATTTGAATATTTTGCCAGATTTAATGGTGTTATTTTCAAGTACCATGCATTGAGTGCAGCCACTCATCTCATAGCGTGCTAGTTAAACAAAGTTTAACCGTACAAACATTGATGCTATTATAAAGTGGATTGGCCATCTAATGATCACAACAGCCATACAACGAATAAGTGCAATTAGTATGGTGTTAAAGCTTTGGTTAGGACATTAAAGGTTGAAATGATAAAATATTTTTAGTTATGTTCAGAATTGTATACAATACTAAAGGTACAAGTCATAATTTAGCATATCTTTTTTTATAACATAAAACCAAACACTTAATTCCTAAAAAGAAATCACTGGCATCTTAATTGAATGAATGTCTTGCTACATTATCGTTGAGTATGGTTCAATACAAATGAGTTTCTAAAGCTGTGGTAATTGTCATACATAAAGAATGCATATTAGATGATAATGATGAAAGTGCGATGCCTTACGATAATAATAAAAGTATACCACACCAGTTTTTGTTGGTTTGTTTCTGCTAGAAATGCCTCCTGGAAAGTGCATGATGCTTTCTGAATGCCAATTTGTGTGGTTGCACAGCTATTTCCACCCAGACTTTGGAATGCAAATAACCATTTTACTGATGTTATAATATATGTTTTGTCTTTAATAGCAAAAAATTCCAAATGTTTTTATACCTGTCATTATTACTTTGATAATTTTCTATCAAACAGCTATAGAAAACATACATAGCTAACTTCCTTTTCGTGAATGTTCTAAAATATTGGCATAGCTATATTGTATTTGCCATTTGAACCCATGTACCAGTCACCCAGTTATACTTCTGGGCGTAAGTACACTGCCCAGCATCAGAATTGAACATATAATCATACAATTAATTGTTTTATAGTACAAATTAACAAAATTTACAGCATTCATGTTAATGTCCTCCCTCTTTACTTTGCAAAAGTAGTCTTGAAAAGAAACCCATCTCAAAAAGCCCATCTTGAAAAGAAGCCCTTTCAAAGTTCACGAAAAAAAAGAAGCCCAGGGCTTCAAATCAAGGTTTACGGTAGTTTGATATTTAACATAGATTGTATAGTATATAACATTATAATACTTATGGTTTGTAATATTTTTGAAAAATTTTAATAATGACGAGTTTTTATTAAATGTCATTTCTCTTCCTGTAAGCAAATATTTGTGTGTTTCCATTGAATCCTTTTGTAATTGCTTTTACTTCCTTGGCAATTGCTCTAAATTCATGGCATTGCTTGCCTTTGAGAAAACTACAATCAAAACCTCACACCATCTAAACATTCCTAATTACCACGAGCATCAGCTGGGCCTGGCAGATAATTACAAGCCACCTCTGTGATCATCTTCACCTGTGATAGTCTGCCTATCACCATGGCAACAACACATCATGACTGAATAGGTATCTGGTTGTGTGCACTGCTATTTTGTTTGTGCAGGCTCTCAGTGTGATTTCAATTACCCATTCATAGGTCAGCCTGTCCCACATTGAAACATAAAATGTCACATAATGATTCGGCAGTAATTTTATGTATAGTCTGCTGGAGTAGATGTTGTAAAGTTCTTGATAATAACAAGTGATGTTATTAGCTACAGTAAACAATTAAAGCTTTACATTCATATTTTTATGACAATCTATGTTTCATTGTTTGAATTATAATTGAAGTATATGGTGGAAGTTGTTAGCATTCTGTAGTGATTGCTAATTAACTGCAATTTTGAAACAGCAATAAGTGAGATGATAATTATAATTTATTATTTTATCAGTTTGGCTGTGTATTAGGTTATATAAAAATAGGTTCATATTTTTGTGACTGTTGGTTTCATTGTTTGAATAAAATATTTCATTAGTGATTGAAATTATCAGTCTGCAGTGATTTCTAACCAGCAGTAATTTTAATCCAGCAAGGAATGAGATTATTTTATTACATTATTTCTTCTACATAATTAGGTTAAAAATAGGTTCATATATATCAAGGTAGATCAAGTTAAATTTATTCATAAAACACAAGCATCGAAAATCACAAAAAAAATTTACTTGCAGTTTGAAAAGTGAATTATGAAAAAATGTTTACAGAAAAAAGGCATAAAAAACTCCACAAAAAAATCCCACAATTTAGCAAAAAAGAAATATATATATACTCATTCATTGCACTATAATTTTCAGTATCATTATTTAATTATTGTTATTATATTTAGTATTTTTATTATTTTCATTCTCATTATTATTACAATACAAACAAAGCAAACATACATTCAAAGATTTATAAAATTTAGGATCTAAAATATTACACTTTAAAAGAGAAGTCAAAATTGCAAAAAATTGACAATTGACAAAACATCATAATATGTAAAATTAGTTATTTAATTAAATTGCTCATACATTATTAGAAATATTATGGTATATAATATTTTGATAACTCTCTGTGTTTCATTGTTTGAACTATTGAAATAAATGGTTGAAGTTGTCAGCAGTCTTGGGTTGATTTCTAATCAACTATAATTTTAAACGAGCAACAAATAAGATCATTATTATAATTTATCAGTTTGGCTATGTAGATAGGTTATATAAAATAGATTAATATTTTTATATTCTGGTTTCATTGTTTGAATTATTGAAATAAATGGTTGAAGTTGTTAGTAGTCTGTGGTGATTTCTAAGCAGCATGAGATAATTATTATAGTTGTATCAAATTGGCTATGTAATTAGGTTATATAAAAAATGGATTCATATTTTTATTACTCGCTCCAGGTATCTTTATTGAAATTATTAGATTAAATGGTTGAAGTGATTTCTAATCAACTGTAATTTTGAACCAGTAACAAAATGAGATAATTATTATAATTAAATCAGGTTAGATGGTTATTTAATTAGGTTATATGAAATATTTAGTGGTCTATTAGGAGTCATCCATAATTTCCATAAAAGTGCAAACATATTGCTGAAGGGATCTCTATATTATTTTGTGTAGATGTTAAATGAATTGACTCTTTTCACATTCATATTCACTCTGAGTTTCATTATCAGAATTACATTATTGAAGCCTTTAGCATTATGCTGTGATTTTCCTTCAATTACTATTTATCAATCTTTATTCATAATATAATAAGAAAAGAATATAGCATAAAACCAAGGTCATTGTTTTATAAAGTACATGCACAATTAAAAAAATGGACAGTAAAACTGAAAAATATATAAAAATAACTTGTAAAAAAATAGACTTAGTAGTCCGTTAGGGCCATTAATTTTTTTTATCATTCTTATGAAAATACAATGGATACACAGGAGATGTGGGGGAGGGGACAAATCTCGAAGTAGTGCCATTTGATATTTATAAAAACCCAGTTTGACAGAAGTTTATAATGACATGTATGAGTTTCCATTTTTCTTTTGCTTATATTGAACAGTAATTGCTGTTAAGAATATTTAATGGTCAGTTAAAAACCATCCAATTTTTCATAACTCTTATGAAAGTACAAAAACATATGCCAAGGGTAGGGGAAATGCTTCGTAAGTGGTCTCATTAGATGTTTAAATAATATAACTCTAAATGCGCATTAATATTTTTTATGACCTTTATGATCGGTTTCTTTTTTGAAGTTGTTTGCATTCTGTAGTGATTTCTATGCAATTGTAACATTGAACCAGAAATTTATAATAATTATACAAGTTTATAGCAATGTTTATTTTTATTGTATTTTATGTAGCACACTTTATTTAAAAATTGAATACAAGGCCCATAAATAAATAAATAAATGTAATATATTGTTATACAGTTATACACAATACATTGTGGTAAGATAGTATTATTTATAGCTGCACCTGTTCCATGAGCATATATTCCAGAATATTCTCAGAAAGGGTATTAAAATGTTAATTATGTGTATGCTTCACTTCTTTAGGTTACATTTCAAATGTTATTCAAAATTCTAAACATAATATCCTAATCTAATATAGAAAATTGTAGTTAAAGCCAAGCTTTGGAGGAATAAACTTTTTGATTTGTTACACCTGATTTTTTTAAGACACAAAACATGTGTTTGACAAAAAAATCTGGAATGGTTAATAAGATATAGATTTTGGATTATTTAAAAACTTGGGGAAAAGGTGAAAAAAAAAGGTTGATACGTCCCTTATCCCCCAGTTTTTAAATATTCAAAAATCTGCATCTCATTAACCAGAGCCTGACATTCAGATGCTTGCCTTACAATCTTTAAAGAGATGGTCTAAATTCTGGAAAATGACAAGATGTGTTCTTATGGTTTTCAGTTCTATAATCAAGACTTCATATTTAATAATACATTTTATAATTTCCTGCTTTTGACAAGTATATAGTATACTTGCAGTTAGATGTTGAAAGAAATTTTTTTACAAATTTATTCATGAAAAGAATATATGGCAATGATGATTATGAACCTGGTAAATGGTATCTAGGTCAGCACCTTTTGTTTGTTATTACATTTTGCATCAACAAATTTTAATGCCATTATGGAATCAATTAAGAGTACATACACCTACAATGTACCAGATGGTATTATGGTTGAATATTTATAAAACAATTATTATACAAACATAATGGCAATTGAAGTGGTGCTTGGTGCTTGGTAATACAGTCAGTAAATAGGTAGATTTTGACGCATGACATTAACCTTAACATTAACGGATGACATAATTTATTCATCTTGCATTGCGGAGTACATTATTTTCAGGATTTTACGTGCTCGATGTACACTAGTTACAGGTTTGCGCATGCGTATTTGTTTACAAAAGGGGCGGAGCTATCGCGTCGGATGTTGGGTACTAACGTTAAAGTTAAGGTTAACGTTGTGCGTCGAAAACTCTCTAATAAAGTCTCAATATTCCTTCCAACCTCGAGTATAAGCCCACTCCTACTTTATGCCAAATGTTATGTACCAGCCTTTCCTCAGGCAAAAGCCCAGGGTATGACTTTTACCAATATTCTTATAAAATAAATATCAAATATTGACTTTGAATTAAGTATTTACAGTGCTGAAAAATTGCCATTTGATTAAAAGGAAATTCCCCGAGTATAAGGTCACCCACCCAAAAATTGGCCCAAGTTTGTGTTCGAGGTGGTGGGAATATACCAGAGGAACTAAGGTACATAGGCCTACTCTTCCTGGTCGAAGGTCAAGTGTAGTACAAGATGTAGTATTTGAATAATAAATTAAGAAAACAAAACAATTTCTATTACAGTATAACTTGTCATATCTTTTTGGTTGGCTGACACTAATTACTGCCTATTGAAAATTCATCCATATCTTTTCACAGTCACTGCAATTTAATCATCTTTCATGACCTGTTTTTGTTTTTTTGTATTGTGAACATGAAGGTAATTCATGCATGTTAAAAATGTAAAAATCCTGAGATTGTCATCCGTGATTGTTTGTAATGCTTGACAATGAATATTGATGTCTCGATGTGCTTGTTGCACTTACAGTAATTATGACAGTGTCTTTACTTTTTAATGGGCTCGCTTAATAAAATATTCATGCCTGTAAATAAGTTAACATCCTCAGTTTTTCATCCTTCATTGGCTGCATGAATATTCACTCTACATGTATTTAAAGAGGAAGGCACTTTTAGTAGATATACGCGCAAGTCGCTTGTTGTCTCTGCATTGATTCCACCATGATTCCCAAGGGATCCATTGACCATCTGCCACTGGCTTTACCTGGGATTAATATTGTTGATGATGCTGATATAATAATGCAATTCATTTCATTTAAAAGGCAGTATTATAGCCAGGAGAGTTCACCTTTTGGAAACAATCTTAATTCACATATTTAATGACAGGGATATGAGAATCATTGTTTATGCAGATGGATATAAGATAGTAATAATTATTTGAACACATGTAGAGCATTCATTATATCAGCTATAGAACAACACTCTGTAGAGTCTAGAATGAATAATAAGCCATGACCGGAATGTATTATTAAGTATGAACAACATGACGTACAGTATTTCTTATGGATATCTTTCCATAGATTGGGTGTAGCAAAATATATTCAAGTAACAATGTAGAGTATGAAGAATAGTTTGTAATGCAACAAATGTTTTGCAATATAAATGCAACATGACACCACCATATCAGTCCATAATTAAGTCCCTCCATTGCTACCTGTTAAGCAA